TATATAATATATGTATATTATATATTATATATTATATAATATATATAATATATAAGCTATATATAATATAGAATATAAGCTATATATATAGAATATAAGCTATATTTATAAGTGTAAATATACATATTTATTGAAATGGAAACCTACATGATGTTGAGTGAAAGTTACTACTAAATATTAATGGTACAATCTATAAAAATTTGTATCTATGTTTATATAGCTATGTGTAGGAAAGTAGCCTGAAAGGATATACCAAAATAGGAATAGCAATTATTCTTATAGATGTGAAATTAAAAGTATTTTTCATTTTCCTCTTAACCTATTTAAATATTGCCAGGGATTTTGAAAAATCATTATATATTACTTAATTTGTGCCAGGAGAAGGGGAAGAAATCTGTTTTCATCTTGGGGAAAAGATTTCTGTATTGTAAAGGGTAAAAGAACTAGGAATCTATAAGAATAAGGAACAAGGTGTTACAGATCACAGCTTATCAGATAAGGATAAACTTTTTAACACTAACATTTAACAAAACTGACAGAAGAGACCAAGGGGCTTGCCTGTGCAAAGCGTTCCACATCACCAAAGGTGTTCAAATGTAAGTGTTTGGTAAGGTTGTCGGGAAGTGATTGAAGCAACAAGTGCTTTGACATTTTGCCTTGAACTCTTGATTGATGAGATTCTTAAAAATGGGTGCAAAGTTAAACAAGGGGACCTATAAAAGCCTTTCTGATTCTCACTTCTGAATTCAAGGAGAATTGTATTTCAGCCCACTTGTGAAAAAGTGACTAAGAAGAATAAAATTCATGTCAGATATGACCTTCTTTGAATATTCTACATACACAACCCTCAAAAGGAAGTTAAAGAAACTGTCAGTGGTGGCATGTGCCTACAGCTTCTCACTGGTGGATAAATGGAAGGAAGAAGGAATAGATTCTGGGCTTGCCCTCATATAAGACCATGAACTGTACTCCTGCAGGGCTGTTTGGGCTCACAAAGTTGTTCATTTTCCCAAACAAAGCAGTAGATAAAGCCAACAACTCCTGAATCCTGCTGGACCTCACTCTGAGTCTTCAGATTTTCTGGCGGCAGATGTGTTCTATGTTTTTAATAGGATCCCACAAATTGAGATTCAGAAGGTCTGGAATAGTGCCTGCGAATCAGTATCCTTTTCATTATCAAGATATTTTGACGATCTGCCAAGTTTAGACACAACCAGAATAAAACACTCATGCACACGTACATACATACACACTTATCAGGAAAGTTACCACAAAAAGGAGAAAACAACAAAGTCCAGTGATAAGCACAGATGTTTCTGTGCCATTGGGGTTTGCAAAGCCGCCTCACTGGAAGCCCATCCGCTGTCTACAGTGCAGCGATGCTCAAGCTGGTGTATCTCATTGCATTAAGCACTGACTGCAGCATTCAACAAACACTTGTCCTATTTAATGTATTATCTAGTGTTTTATTAACACTTTGTGTAATATGTTCATGAACACTATAAACCATACGAAAATTCATGTTAATACAGCAAGTGTTTTCCATGGACCCTAAACAAAAATAAATAGTATTTGAGCTGCAGCAGCCACTGCATAACCCTGATGAGGAAGAGATGGTGAAGCCAGCTGCTGTTTGAGATACGGTCAGAATGGTGTCCTGCTGGTGGACCAGTTAACACATTCATACGTGATGAGTTAACAATAATACATACACTGAGTATTTTTGGAATTTTGCATGTTCAACTTCATTCCCAACTAATGTGGATTAAAGGGGGGGTAGGAAGGAAGATGAAAGCAATTCACGAAACTATTACTACAGAGCCTGCAGTGAAAGTCACTGCTGTCACCTACTAACTAAGGGCCTAGGTGGGCCACACCGGCCATTTGCTCTTTTTTGGACCCCTCACACACTCCACCAGCTCCCCCACATCCTGCCTGAATGCTCCTCCCGGCACCTGCGTCCCCCTTTACTCAGTATTCATACAGTTAACCCCCCACCACTTCCATTTTTGTGTGTGATCAGTAGTGTTGGTGAAATGGAAGAGCTGGGGGCCTTGGGGCACCACTGCCTGTGCCTGGGAGTCAGCACCTGGCCCTGGCCGCTCGCGGGGAGCTGTGCATGCCGCTGCGTGGTGCAGGTATGCCAAGGTGCCCCTGCACTCTGGCCCAACTCCTGATGTTTCCTTTCATGTTAAGGCCAGTCTGTTAGGTGTTGTTCTTGGAACAGTGCTAAGCTCTCAACAGCCACTCAGCCAGTGATCTGTGTTGGTTACGGGAGTGACCCGTGATGTCTGTTCCAGATCTTGACCTGAGAGCTTAAGAAGAGTGCCACAGACGTTGTATTGTTCTAGAAACTGAGGAACTAAGAGTTTAATTTTCTGAATTCACAGAACTAGAGCATTTGGGGCTGAAGTCCTGGCCGGCCGGCCGGCTGGTTGGTTTTCCTGTACCCTGTTGCTTTGGCAAATAGCAGGGCCAGTCTGCACCTGTGTGCCTCTGTTGTGTCACACAAAGCTTTGCTGCTTCTTAACAATTATTAGATGCTCTTCCGTGGGTTCCTGTGCTTGCCATGTCTTTGGTCCCTTTGTGTGTCAGTCTTTTGGCAAATTTTATTCAAATTCTTGATTCAAACAACATACCTTACAACTGTTAATGATTTGACGCTTTTGCAAGTTTTGAAAATCCACATTTGTAGTTTTTAATTAAAAGTCAAAGAAATACTCCTTTACATATAAAACATAATGTAATGCTGCACTTGAATTTTAAATCTAGACCTTAAAATATTTATCATTTAATTAACGTAGAAAGTCATGTCTTATCACTTTCCTTTTTATTATTAAGTATTGTCAACAGAGACTAAAATTCATTTTAACTTAATTAAATTCAACTAATAAATTTCACTGAATGGTATTAATGTTTGTTTCTTCTCTGCCAAACAAGACTTGTTTAAGGTACATTGTGATACATACTCTCGTAAGAAAAATGAAATACAGCTATAGGTTTGCAAGTGAGGCAAAGTGGGGCGTGAGGTGGTCCTGACTTTGCTCCCCCGGCTTCTGAGGACAGCAGGTCCAGGGCTTGTGTGGGGAATAGCTGATCTGCCATGTTTGTAATGCAGCTTCGTTCTCACTGCTGTTTGTCCTCCCAGAGGCCAAGGTCACCCACAGTTATCTGTAGGTAGCACTGTGTCAGTGTGAGGGCACTCAGCAGGATCTGAGGCTGGACAGCCTTAGGCGTTGGGGAGAGAAGTTCATAGAAAGGCCTTTGGTGTAGATGGGAATTGTCCATATCCATTTCTGCAAAGTGATCACATCCCAATTCTACATTTACCTTTGTTGTTGCAGTCCCCACTCGTTTTTAAGTTGTTGTTCTGTTTCAGATTGCTAAATGGCACTCTGCCTAGTCTAGGCCTTCTTTTTCAGATGCTTCTCATTTTGATCAGGTGCCAAAGTAAAAGCGAGACTCTGTAGGGAATGGAGTTTGCTTACTCGCTAGGGTGAGTGGAGAGAACCATCTCGACAGCATGATGGACCTGGGAGCACTTCCCTGACCTCCACTGCCTGCTACTCAGTTTTGCTGAAGGATAAAAACTCTAGAAACTCTGCCTCAGTCAAGTCTCGACTCGGTGGGAGTTTTCTCTTCTGGCAAATGAGCTCAAGGCGCCAGGCGATTCCGGGTCTGGGGAGAACCCACTTCCCTGTCTCCTGCACTGTCACCCTTGTCCTCAGTGACATTTGTTATCACCAGTGTACAGTTTTGCTGTTTACGTCTCTTACAAAGTAAAGCTGCATTCTACTCAGGGGAAAGTGTAAAAACACACCATTGATTTATACTAAAATCACAAAACTTACTGAAAATAATGTTTCAAGTGGAAGTGAGAGCCTTATAAAATTATATTAGCAACAGTTCTTAGGACAAATGAACCTAACAATAGTAAAGAAGTGCGTGAAAAGCACCAGGTATTTTCAGACCCTGAGTAACCATCCTAGAATCATCTTTAAGTACCAGAGTGCTTTAAGACCTTTGTTCTTTTTCTTTTCATATCACTTGTTATCTCTGTTAGTTTAGCTTTCTCCAAACACGTTAACTCAGAGATACCTTATCTTAGTCCGTTCTGGCTGCTCTAACAAAAATACCATAGACCCCATGGCATGAACAATAGCTCTGCATTGCTCTTAGTTCTGAAGCATGGGAAGCCCAGGCTCAAGGCGCCGGGAGATTCCGGGTCTGGGGAGAGCCCCTTTCAGTCTCCTGCACTGTCAGCTGCTTGCTGTGTCCTCACCTGACTCTAGGGACAAGGGTGCTCTCTGGGAGCCCTTTCATAAAGACCCTAATCCCATTCATGACCTAATCTCCTCCCCAAAGCCCCCTCTTGCAAATATCATCACATGGGTCTGGCATGAAAGGAAAAGGAGAAATAACATCAAATAAAGCTAATGTGTCAAGTGTTGATTCCTTATCAGGCTGGAAAGAACCTTAATTGTCTTCAACTCTTGGCTAATTACAGCATTTTATAAAGGGATGGGTTCAGTGGGTTTCCATGTGAGTGATTTTTACTAGCTTTTTCTTAATTTAGGAAGTATTAGAACATGATCAGTCTTGTGTGTCTATAGAGCATACATGGTAAAATGCAGGCCATTGGGAGTTGTTGACTTAATAGGGCGCTTAACTCAGCGATGGTGAGACTTTGAGTAAACATCTCTTACAATGAAAAAAATCTAAACTAATCCATCTAAGAGGTTTTATTCTAAGATCCTAAAAATAACTTTCCAATTGTATCTGGAAAGGTAAAGTGATTTTGAAGGATGTATAATTGATGAATTAAAAACATTATTTTGAAAACCCCCTTTATGATCCACCGAGAGAACAGCTTCATAATGCCCTCGGGTGTCAAGCCAAGTGGATCAAATAGTTTTTCTGTAGAATATAGAGAAAATACATTCTACCTTTTTAGCTTTCTGTTCCCTAAACACACGTGTGCTTTGTGTATTCGGTTGCAGGTACGAGAAGGTGCCAGTCATCTTGGTGGGGAACAAAGTGGACCTGGAAAGCGAGCGAGAGGTGTCGTCCAGTGAAGGCAGAGCCCTCGCTGAAGAGTGGGGCTGCCCCTTTATGGAGACTTCTGCCAAGAGTAAAACCATGGTGGACGAACTCTTTGCGGAAATCGTGAGGCAGATGAACTATGCTGCGCAGCCTGACAAAGACGACCCTTGCTGTTCTGCATGTAACATACAATAGCATTTGAATACAGCTGCCCTGGCTGGGGTTAGCTCACGACGAGGCGATGCAAACCTCGCCCCCTCGACTGTGGAGTTTGCAGGGTTCGTGGTGTGAATCTGCAAAGAATAGAGCCCTTCTTCAGAACTGAGCATGACTGTCCGTTGCTGTCTCTGAGCAACTTTTGGGTTCAGTAACCACAGTTTCCACCATTGTCCTCAGTCTCTCTTAATGCACCTGCAACTTGAAGGCTTGGCCCGTCGATCTACAGGGTTATCTCCTCTGAAGCTGTGAGGGCCTTGGCGCAGAATAGACAGAAGCAACTATTGCCTAAGTTCAAAATAATCCTGAGAGAGAAACCGGAAGAATTGTTATGAACACTTACAATTAGAATATTTTGTTGTCTTTAAAAAATTAATAATAAGTAAAGGAGAAATATTTTCCTACAAGAATACTGAATTCAGGAACTGAGATAGTGCTTCTAACCAATGTTTTCCGTCAAGTGAGGCGAGAAGAGCCGACCTGCCAGCAGCATCACAGGGAGAGATTTTTTGCTCAGCTGACACATTTCTGTTTCTCAAAATCGATGCTTACTTGTAGATGTGATCATCACTTTGATGGGGACTAACTCATGTTCCACTCCGAGCAGGTTGGGTGAAAAAGCAGTCTGGTGTCAGGTGTGCTAGCTCACCTGCTTTGCCACAGAAAACGGAGGCTCGCACAGGGTTTGCTCTGAATTCAAGCCCCAAACCCACCCTCTGTTCACCAAGCAGGGATGGTCTTTGTGTTACTTTACTGAACAAGAAGGAAGCAACTGTGATGAAGAGATTGCCTAGCCTTACTATGAGAATGGTCTAGTGGGTGAACCAGCACCATCATGTAAGGAAAATGAAGCCATGTTGCATCCACATGTTCCCATTTGCAGAAACCTCCCAGGACAGTGCAAATATCTTGCATTTTTAAGTTGGTGAAAGCAGCAAATTCCTTCTTGCCTTTAAGGGCTATGGTTGTGGTGTGATTTCTGCTTTCGAAATCAAGTTTGCTGTGACAGAGCTTTATGACAAGCATTTAAAAAATTGAATAACCATGCGAAATAATTTGGGCTGAAGAGTAGAACACAGATTATAGAGTGGAAGGTAAGGGACAAAAAAAAAAAAAAAAAAAGAAAAGAAAGAAAGAAAAGAAAGCACCAACCTTTTATCTTTAATTTTCCTGAGAATTATATAGAGATTTTCTTACAACAATTTTGCCCTGATTACTGAAGTGGCAAATAAAGCTAGAGTGAATATTTTGCTTTGAAAAGGTGCTCAAGCTCTGACACTTTTGGTTTTTGCAGCCGTGAAGTATTTATCATTTGCATGACTAATGGCACAGGAAAAACCTATTCCTAAGTTTTACAATCCAGTGTAGAAGGGTCTGCAGCCAACTTCCGAGTTGGGAAGGTTGCAGAGAGGGTCTTGCGCCTTCAGAACTGCAGCGGCACTGAGGCTGTGCTCTACACACCACCCCACATTCTATTGGCTCACACTCTTGTACAAGCAGCCTCCAGTCTTGCGTGTGTAACCGAGAGAAGTGTGCGTGTTTGTGCGTGCATGTGTGTTTATTGTTCCTAAGAATTTGGCACAAGTCCGGAGCTCATCGCCTGTAAGGAGAATCTGTACTGCAGAATGTAGTGTATCAAAGCGTTTCTTTTCCTTTATTTCAGTGTTTTATATACATGATTGAAATCATTGGTAGCCCCCAAGTGTTTGGTAAACCTGCGTCAAGTTTAGAGGATAGAAAAAAAAAGGTGGCTTGTACTTTTTCATAGATGAGAAAAGAGACAGGTGGGTAAAGCCAGTGGTTGTCCAGCGTCTTTGAATTGTTAATATTTACATCCTTCAGCATAGATTTTGAAATCGGTCCCCAGTTACGGTGCACCTTGGTTATGGGAGAGAACGCCCTAACCAGTTTGATTGAAACAGATTTCATTATGTAAAAATTGATTCAACTTGGACTTATGGAGAAATCAGATTCAAGAAATGTGATTTAGCTACTGAAATATATTTGTCAGTGAATTTGGTTGAGTTTTGAAGCCTCTATCATATCAGAATGATGCTGGGTTTTTTTTTTTTATTCCATACTTCACAGAAATTTATGACAACTAAGATTACATATGTAGAAACATCTGTAAAGATTCTACATTTTAACATCCAGGATCGCTATGCAGACAAGAAAAATAAGTTCATTAGTAAGAAAGGTGTGGCAAAACGTAGGTGGAAAAGATTACCTGCAGCGTTGGGTTTTCATGAGAAGTGTTTGTGTCAGACAATGGTGGGGGTGACTTTTCCTGGAAAGGTGCGAATAGCAGCCAGTCGGGCCACCTCAGCAGTCTCCCCACACCACCCTGCATATTCAGGGCCAAATGGCAAAGACACCCAGAAACCAGAACCGCGGGGATCCTCTTGTGCTCTTCCTGTGGGGATTTCACCTGGTCTGAATGTAATTCAGTTAGAAGCAAAGCGTTTGTTGAGATGTTCATCCCAAGTTTCAGAACAGGAAGACTCAGTGTGTGGGCACTGGAAGTAAGAGCCGCTGCCCGGGAAAGCGGTGACCTTGTCGCTCGTGCACCCTGGTCAGTCTAGAAACTCTAGAGAAGTGAAAGTTTTCTAACATGCCTTAAAAATGTTATGGTTTGATCCAAAGACCCACTTTTTCTTTAGCTCTTGTGATAAGGTTTCTTTCATTTTTGTTTTGTCTTGTTTTGCTCTCAAACAAAGGCAGCATTTTTTGTTGGTTTTGGGGGTTTTTTTTTGTTTGTTTGTTTATCATTTTTTTTTATCTTGGCAACTCTTGGTTTCCTTTCAGCCCTGAGAGTGATGGTAACTGATGCCTTTTATTTTGCTCAACTTTCACGAAACAAGCCAGCATTGGATCACAAAGATTACATCAGATCTTCCTGACACTCTTGGAAGGTGCCGTGATGGTTTTCTCCTGTGGCTTATAGATGTAGGACTGAACTTTCATCTCTAATCGCTGTGGTCACTCTCTTTTCGGTGGTAAAACTACTGATATTTGCTTTTCTATATAAAGAAATGCTGCCTCAGGATGTCTGCTCTTTGTCTTCGAGAGTTTTCCAGCGGGAATGTTGTGTGTGTGTGTGTGTGTGTGTGTGTGAGAGAGAGAGAGAGAGAGAGAGAGAGAGAGAGAGAAGGGAAACACATATTTGGTTTGTGGCTATTGGTTTTTTGGTTCATTTTGCATTTTCTCCTTCTCAATAGTCTTATGTTAGCACTGGATAAGCTTTAATTGTCTTCTTAGCCAATCCAACGTTAAAGACTCTGGGGGTCTTTTTCTTTTCTTTTTTAATTAATGTGTCATCGTGCATCTATTAAATCTTGATCAGGATTTCAAGAATGACCGCAGCAGTGGGTTTTGGAAACAGACTTATCATTATTGATTTGGGGTTTCCCAGAGATAAATATAGTTCACAGTTAATTGTTGAGCTCTAATACAACTGACCATTGAAAATTGAACAACAGTTTATTGTTTTGTAACAATGTCAGTTGTTAAACCTTGACATTTCAATTAAAACATGAATTGTGGTTATAACTCAATGCAAATTCAACAGTTGTATTTGGAGTTAAATTATTTTAACAAATAAATTTATTTAATGAAACTTCCTCCGGATTTTTTGGTTTTGTCTTGTACTGTTTGTGAGATGTAAAAATTATATACAAAACTACTAAAAATTGCCATAAAATGAATTTAATAACCTTCATACAGAAATATTTAAGCTGAATTAAGTTGAGATTCATATCAGCAGGGAAGTTGGCAGATCATTTTCATACCCATTAAAAATGGAAATGACACAAGAAAGACTGTAAAATCAGTAATTATAAATATAAATTTAATCTCTCTCCATAAACAGTATTTTTTATTTTTGATGACAGCTGGCTAATGTGACGTGTCCATGCTAATGTTAACAGAATTGTTCTAGAAGATGAACATTCATCAGCACTTGCTTTATGGTCCTGCTGTCTCACTAAAATATATCAGTATCCTTCTAGTGATGGCTTGGAGCTGCCTGACTCTCCATGTCTTGAGGATTTTAAGGTGCCAGAAGCTAAAGGGGTGCTGCTCTGTGGGGCTGTCGCCCTGCTTGCTGTCCACGGCCCTGTGAATGTGGACAGATGCTGTTAATCATATACAGCCTTCAGCTGCTCTGATAAGGGGCTCTTTCATTCCCTAAGCCAATTTCAACTATGCCTTTTGGTTATGTTGCCTTCAAACTGTTGAAATGCCCTGGCAACATTCCATCAGTTTAGAAGCTTCATTGTTTTAGAATATAAGAATAATTTGAATGAATATAACAGAGGCACTGTAGACAGAATCTCAAATATTTAAAGAAAAATATGCCTGTGTTTTGGTAGAACAAATAACTGCTAGTCAGCTTCGTAATTGCATTGGAAGCCTAGAAAGTGCTGAAACCTATCAAATCCTAATCTCAATTAGAATTTCTTTGTGCCTGAAAACTAGTATTTTGAAACTCTGTGTACTATATTTTGATTGTTAGAGACCCATGAATGAAAATACAAATAGCTGAAGGAATAATAAGGTGTCACCCAAGGGGGAACTCATCTGTCCTCTGGTACCTGTGAAGCAGAGAAAATTGCCACAGATCCCCTAAAAAGCTTAAGGGCTGATTTCTTAATTGAAAACACCTGTGTCACCATGTGCATGCTAATGAAACGGTGACACTGTATTTGTTAAATGGATGATTTTAAGTGGTTATACATATTTTGAGTACTAACTACATTTTCTTCTGTTTTGGTATTTCCCTCCTGCCTGCCCCTCCCCTTGAAGAGTGAGTCTACTCCCTGGGGAAGCCTTCAGGATGAAACAGGCTTTTCCAGGGGCTCTCGTGGAGGGTGAGCTGTGGGGGCACTGAGTAAGTTGGGGCGCATTAGCAACATGGGAGGGGACAGCAATCTACAGATCAGGTACTACGCTGCAGGATAAATGCTAGGTCTTTGCCTGCAGTGAAACACTATCGATACATGTCTTCAGTTTCAGTGAGATTTTTAGTTAAAAACATCAGTCCTGGAAAGTATTTTCTACAACTTTCCTACAAAATGCGGGGTCAGTGATTCACACATACTGAGAACTGAAGTAAATCATTTAGTGGCAAGCCACTAATGCCAAGAAATTATACACTAATGGTGGGCGGACAATAGAATTTCTGTGCAGAGAATCACAAAATCTGAGGAAGAGAGGAAGTGAAGTATGAACCAGAGCAAGCAGGGGCTTCATTAAATCAGTCCTCGTGCGAAAGCGAGAATGTCCTATCTTAGAATCTGAAAGTCCAGTGTTGGGGGCAGATCTGCCGCAGGATGTGCTTGCAAATGGACGTTTGTTTTTGTGCGTGAGTTACCCCAGGTGTGTCCTGAGGCGGGTCTATACCATGTAGGGTGGCCTGCAGAAAATGATTCCAGAGTCAGAGGAGGCGGGAAAACCCTGCATCAACTCACACCGTGGAAAAGCCTCCAAGAAATTCTGCTGACGTTTCCAAAACTAATCTGACCCTAGGACATTTTTCTTCCCATAATACATAGTAGCACATTCTGGAACAAAATCTGGGAAATTTCGTTTAGATATGTGTCCTCCAAACCCTGCTACGAGCACTCTGCAGGCACGGGGCCCTGGATCAGTTGTGATCCTGAGAATTCTAGTCGCGAGAGAAGAGGACCCCTTTCCTCATACCCATGCTTCATCTTGGCCCACAGCAGTCATCTTTTTAGAAAATGTGAAAAATGGAAGAAGGAAAGATAAAACCAAGAATAGTCACGCCTGCAGCCATGACAGTTTCCTCCTTAATGCCCGTGCCGGCGGAGCTACTTCTAGGCCAACTCACAACAGTCTCCTGAGCAGACAGCAGCCTGGACCTGCCCCCCGCGCCCCACCTCAGCACCCACCCCGTTGCACCGGACCTGGGCCCCTGTCGGGAAATGATGTGCTGGGATACAGGGAAGATGACAGAGGCCCAGAGACCCTGGAATCCATGTTTCCTGCCTTGATCCTCCCCAGGTGTCCCTGAGAGAGGGATAAACTCAGGAACCTGCCTTCAACGCACATGCACAGGTGCCCTAAAACACAGCAGAAGGGCAGCGCCACTACTTGCTGGAGTTTTCAATTTAAAGCTGCAGAGCAGAACGCTCCAGCACTGACCAGAGCCCCCTGAGCAGACCTGCATCTGCTAGTTGGGGCCTGGGATGAGAAGCAGCCACATCGGCCTCTACTTCTCTCTGGAAGCCTCAATCCAAATCTTGAACCTCTCCTCTGCAAATGCAAAGAAAGGCCAGTGCACCTGAGCTGCAGAGAAGAGCCAGATGAGGAGAGACGTGTGGGGTCCAGCATCTAGCAATGAATTTTTACATAAGCAACTACCAACAGCATCAAGACACAGGCTGTCACCATCAAGCTCCTCAGTAAATACCCAGACCGAGAGCTAGCCCCTGTTCTGGCTGCTGCCTCATGGGTCAGTTCTGGCATTTCTTGAACGCCATATAAACTAAATCATACATCTAGATTCTTCCGCTCAATATCATGTCGATAAGAGTCACCCATACGCTTACATATAATTGTAGCTTATTCTTTCTTACCACTACCATTTCTGTGTATGAAAACACTTACTGATGCGATCTATACTTGTTGGGCTTTTGGTTGTTCTTAGTTTGGCTCTACATTGGGCACGGGGCACACTGTGCCTGATTGTAGACACCTGGAATATAGGCGTGGGCATGCGTGAGTGTGCACACCTGAGCCTGGAGGCTAGGCTAAAAGCCACGGCAGTGGGCGGATAAGCGGCGTGACTACACAAGAGGTGAGACCACCACGCGAGGACGAGAGAATGCCAGACAGCCCAGGGAAAGAGGGTAAAGATTTGGGGGTGGGGGGCTGGGGGGTGGAGGGCTCGGCTACTGCCTGCCTCCCTCCCAGCTCCCCTGCTCAGCCTGTGCTGCCTCCTTGCATGCCAGCCTCCCTGCCTGAAGTGCCTGTGCACTTGGTTCTCTAGAGAGCACAAAAGCCTGAAAAATCCACCGAGGGCTCCAGGACAATCTTTGCCCGAATCGATGGTGAACCTGCCCTGTGCATGCTGGCACTAGACTGGGCCACAAGGGAGGGCCTTTTAAGGGAAAGATCTGGGGGGATTCCTTGATAGTAGGAAATGTAATACTGGAAAATCCTAAAATAATGTCTGGCCTTCTCATGACTACTGAAAGGAATTCCAAAGCATAGTCAAAGAATACCTCTTTCCTTGTTTTATTCTAACAGCATGGTTCTAAGTTTCCTTCAAAATAACTGTCCTCTTGTCTTCTTCCTACAAGGACTTGTTAACCTCAGTCCTGAGCAAATATTATCTGAAATATTAGCACATCGGTGACTTAGAAAAGTGTGATTAAAGGTAAAATGGCCTAGAACTGAACAACATAGATGCCCTAGTCACTCACTTCTAATTACATTTGGATGGGTTCTCTGTTGCCATGGAAACCCTCTATCCTTGGGAAATTTTGGAGGCAGGGAACTCCTCCAAGTTTCACAGTTCTGTATCTGAAAGAAATTTTTTGTTCTATATATGAGTTTGGAAACTATGCTACAATGTTCCATTTGATAACCTGCAAACAAAGCTACTGTCAGTTGCTCAAGACAGTTAATATAAAAGCATAGTTTGCTTTTTATTTTTATAATTGTTTCCAATTTTATTGTCACAAAAATTACCACAAATTCTTTGTATAAGGAACTGTCTTCTTTATTGCCTTTGAGTTGATTGATTCGTCAAACTCTGTGTCCAATATGGCAGCCGTCTCTGCATGTAGCTATTTAAACTTATGTTAATTAAAGTTAAAGTTAAAATAGGATTCTTCAGTAACACCTCTCGAATTTCAGATCACACGAGTCACATTGGAAGTGTTCAGTAGCCATAGGTAGTCAGTGGCTGTGTATCTTTTCCATCATAAAAGTTCTACATTGGCACTACAGTACAATAAAAATTACTTGTGTCAGAACTTTTCAATTTTCTTTGCTCAGCAATAGTGACAGATAAGAACAGACAAGCAAGATTGTTTCATGAATGTGTGCTTTGCTGCCTGAATGACCCTAAACAGCCTTACCTTAAGAAAATCCCATGTGTGATTTAAGGCTCTGTAATCACAATCTTGAAATTTTTTTGGAGACATCATTAATTGGCATATAATATTACATTCATTTTAGGTGTACAAGGTAATATAAATACATATACATATATATACCAAAATTTAAAAGTTCACTTAACATCCATCACCACACACAGTTACCATTTTTTTTCTTCCAACGAGAACTTTTATGATCTGCTATCTTAGTGACTTTCAAATATACAATACAGTGGCAACAAAAGTCACCACACTACACTATAGCCCTGGGACTTATTTATCTAAAATTGAAAGTTTTGATCACCTTCTCCCAATCTTGAAATTCTTTTTTTAAAAAAAAACTTATTCATACAAGAGCTGGGGTACAGGCCAGAGGTGTTGGGGGTGAAAGGATTCACCAGAGACAGAGTGGGGAACAGAACAGGCAGATTCACTGAAATGCACTGCTGAGGGGAGCAGCGGGCGAGTCAGGAGAGGTCTGCTGTGCCATGTGGGTA